TCATTTTGCTCTGGTGCCTGATTTACCTGAAAGTTTTATGGGATACTTTTCCTCCTAGGAAATCAATACTGTCAAAAGTGTCAACAGTGCATGTGTATGCTTTGAAAATATAAATAATAGCATTTATTTTCCCATTATATAATGGAAATGCTTTTGAAGCTTGGATCTCTAGTTAAGATTGCTTTCTGCAGCAGGCCAGGTTATTTATTTATTTTTAATATGGATTATTACTATAAATACTCTTCAGAAGGAATCATCAGTGCTATGCTATTATAAAATGCATACCACTGAAAGCGTTCAACTATTTAAGTAATGGTTCAAAGTGTACACGAATGGTTTTAGCCACTTGTTTGAAAAAAGCTTGCCAGATTTAGATAATGCTTTTCTGACCAAGCAAATGATCTCCAGAAGGAAATGGCTGGACAACAATTTCTCTAAATGTTTATAATCTTATGTATTTCCTTTCCCTACTATAGATGTTCAAATTAATTCATGTAAACCAGACCCAACTACAACCATACTACCATCAAGTGTACCAACAGAATTAACTGCGTATTCAGGTTCAGATTTGACTGGGAACACCACAGCAGTGCCCACTGCAACTGAACCAGAACAAACCCTGAAAAACGTGAGATTTCGGATAATATGTATAACTGAAACTATATTACCAACAGAGGGGACTACTACAACAATGCCAGAGGAATACCACACTTACCCTGCTGCATTTAGGAACGATGGTGTTGTCTTTGGAGGTAAGGGCAGTGCTCCTTAACTAGAATAGCTCGTTAGTGAGATACATGTTAGCAGTAAAACTGCTTACCGCTGGTTTTATTTGCTACTCCAGCATTCTTTTTTATATAGCTGAACCTTGAAGCAGAATAAAATGTCACAAAGCTTATAAAAAAGGGTTTTTTTAGCATAATTTTTAAGTATAAGATCTTAAGATTTTATTCTTTTTGGTAACATGTATGTATGAAATGGTGGAAATTCATTGTGGTTAATGTGATTTGGGGTGAATACATTTCTGAGAAAGTCCTAGCATAGCACCATGTGCTCTGAATAATTGAAAACAGCCAGATCTGAAAAATAAAAGAAGCCAAGAAAGTTGTAAGTAGAACAGTGATTTGTTTTCCAGATACAAGGTGTGAAAAACTAATCCTAACAAACAGAAACTGGAAAATAGACTAAATATATGGAAAAACACATTAAATGGAAGGACAGTTAATTACAAAAACGTATTTTCTCAGTAGGTTGTTTAAAAAAATCTCTGATGAGCAGATTAGACAAGTATGACAAATGTCTGTCAAGGAGTGCCTGAGTGCTTTTAGCCTCTCAAAACAAGGAGCAGGAGTAACCAAGGTTTTGAGATTGCTTACTTTTATTCTTCTATGAGTCTATGTGTCCATACATACCTTTTACACTAGGCTGGTTTTAGAAGAATATGGACTTATGTTCATAAGCCTTTAGAAAGTCCAGTATAAAGATATATAACACCTTTATGCTTACCTCCCTTTTATCTCTAGGTATCCCCACTGCACTCCTTGTGCTGGCAGTCATCTTCTTCATTATTTCAGTTCTTCTAGCAGTCTGCTACATCAAAAAGTAAGGTTTTTCTATCTTTTCTCTTAGAGTGAGTTAACTCCTAGAGTACAAGCAGTGAATATTTCATAAATACAGCTAAAGAGGGCTGTAATGATAATGATGTAACTGTAAAACAAAGAATTAAATCTTCAGCTCTGCTGTTCTGCAGTTAATTTTTGTTGCTATTGTTGCTACGCCCTTTTAGAAAAGCAATCAGACCAATATTACCTATTTTTGATTAATCAGTCACACCTAGTGTGGAGTGTTGCTGTCTGCCAAAACAGCAATATTTAAGCATGCAACTGCATATATATAAGCCTATTTATGCAGCTTTCTTTTGTTTCTTTCAATGTCAGACTCGAGAGAATAACACTTATCCTTCAGAAAAAAAATACTTGTTTACTCCCTTTGAGCCATTTAAACAGATCTTCAACACAGAGGATCACTAGAGATCAAAAAGTTGTGCCCATTTCTAACATTCTTGCCCAGCTTGCATTATCATTATGTACCACAAATCCTGAACATACATGGTTTGTACAAAGCAAACACAAAGCAGAAAATATTTCTTTAAAAGGCACATTGCTTTTAAAAGTACAGTGAGCCCACTTGCTGCTATTCTCTGTGGCACTTCTGCCTTGAATATAGCAGAGAAAGCAAATGCTAGCTATTTGGTAGTACCTCTCAACAAATAAAATACTAAACTAATGTCAGTGTTTCTGCTTTAATATCCTTTCTTTTTATTTAAAGGTACAAGAAATCCTTCCCATTTTCAAACAAGAATCAGAAAAAAATGGTTGAAACTACGACTCTCAAAGAGACTGCATCAAATGACAAAACACTTGAGAAGGAAACAAAGAATAATGAAAAAAAGGTAGAAGAGGCCAAAGCCAAGCCTGAAACCACAGTAAAATGTCTAGAAGTGGAAGTTTAAGGTCAGCAGAAGAGGGAGGAGAAACGTACAGTTCTTTTTAGAAATATATAAAACAAAGCACATAACTTAGCAATGCTTTTAAATGCAGGTGACTGTAAATACTCATGAATTTTTTTTCTCATCTTAACATATGAAAGCATTTTTTTTTAATAATTACATCTTCAGCTATAAATGCTCTTGCAAAAGAATATGGTATCTTACTTGAAATAAATAAAACATCCATATTACAGTTCACTTCTTAACAAAGAAGTAAATCAAAATTTGCTGTTAGTGACACACAGTGTGTGACTATTTGCATGAAATTCACATCAATATGTAATGAAAAATTCCTTTATATCTGTATGGGTGATCTGCTAACTTAATGCCTAAAATAAAACAATACTAGGTCATAAGTAAAACAACAGTAGGTTAATTTGTTTCCATTAAGTAGTTACACACTGTTTTTTAAAAAGTCTGTTTACAAACAGAATAAGCCTGTTTGCAAGTAAAAAATCAAGACTGGCCCACTGCCATTCCAATATCAAAAGAAGGGTACAAAGATGCTGATCTTCATCAGCATCCTTGAACAACTTTCTAAGGTATATCATCATATAATTCACTGTTTTATTTATTAAAATCTGTATCATTCTTTTGCATCAGATATTTGACAGGGAAAAAGAACCTTGAACTGTATTACAATGGTTATATTTAAGGTCTTTGTGTGTATTTAAGTGAGGCCTTCCAAATAAAGGCTTCAAGTGGTATAAGGCATTTAGAGTACTTCATAAAACATGAAAGTTGGTAGAGATGTTTGTCTAGACCATTTATTCTCATGAAAACTGTCTTATAGGAGAAAAATCTCATATAACCTCAATGTTACAGAAGTGATTAGTGGATATGAATGGAAAAAAAAAAAACAACCAGCAATTTACCAAATATTTTATTGAATACATGGTTTAGATAACTTTTATATTTGAAGTTATGGCAAAAAGGTGTTTTTTCAGATCAAGTAGCTTGAAAAAGTCTTAAATAGAATAGTAACAGAACTGCTCACATACACGTACATGCTGTTTTCTACTGCGCAGAATATCTGGCTGTGACCTTTCATGCTTTTGATTCACAGAAATCTAACATTTGCCCGGTTGTTATATATTCCACTAGACAGACAGTGGTAGGGTATTGCTAATAGCCTATTTAGAGGAGCCACCTGTTGTTTGTTTATTGTTTTTGATAGCATAGAGAGATTTTATGGCTCCAGGAGTCTGGGCTGGGTTGAAACACAGCCCACCACTTCTGCAGAAGGACTGTGGTTACACACAGCTCCACAAACCACTAATTTCAAGTGCCCATCCACACAACTTCAGCAGAGAAAATTTTCAACAGAGAACAGAGGAAAGCTGTTACGTACAGCCCTCCTTGCTCAATTAAGTAGTTCCTCTCCTTGCCAAGTGCTGCAGGAATGCAGTGCATCTCTGCTTGCACACATAATGAAAGCACACTCACCGTGTAAGCAGTGAGTAGCAAGCAGGAATAATGCCATCAGGAAATCCACAGCCATCACTTCTCACTAGGGTGTCAGAAAAGTATATGGGCTTAAGCACACAGGTAATGGATACAAGGTAATTCTGGACTTTTTCGCCCTTTAACAACTGTCTTTTCCAGTTTTTAGATAAGAAATTACCCGCTTCTCTTTTCCTCATCAGCAAGTGGTAGTTATTGATTTTTTGCTGTTGCTGTCATTTTTATTTTAAATCTGCTTTTGTCAATAGAATGAAGAAGTTGCCCTATTATGTAAGCATCTCTTTTACTTTCAAAACTCAGACAGCGTTCACCCCAACCTGCACTCTGTTGCCTGGCTGTGTGCATGGGTTGCTTCACCCTCCATGAACCCTCCTGGAGCTCTCAGTGCCGTGCATTGGGGCCTAGTCAGAGCAGCAAGGAACCTGCTCCCTCTTACACATAATAACATCACAAAAGCTAAAATGAAGCTGCTACACCGTCCTGTCAGCAATAAAAGCCAGGTACAAATAGCAGATCAGTGAGCATTGTACTTGATATTGTCTGTGCAATGAGCACGGCTCCATCACGTCTGGATTAGTATAAAATGTTCCTGCTCACGGCTTAATGGAGTTGCAAAGCAAACACTCGATGAACTTCCAGACAAGATGTCAAGCAGCCCAAACCCTCACCTGGCACCACCAGAAACTTAGGAGAGATTTCAGAAAGGGCGTCTCTGCCTCTTGTCAAACGCCTTTCCTTTTTAACCGCTCTCAGCGCCGCAGAGCCGGCGCTCCACTCGCGTTCCCATACAGGTGATTCGCGACACCCCGTCCGCCGCCGGCGACCCCGTCCCGCTTCCCGCCCGCGGCACAGCTGCCGGCTGACCTCCGGCCGCGGGGCCGCTCGCTTCGCAGGAAGAGCCGCGGGTTCCCGGCCCAGCCCAGGCGGTGCCCCGGACAACGGGCTGCCGCGGCGTGGGAAGAGCGCGACTCAAGTGGGCAGGAAGGGGAAGCAGGGGAAGCACCGCTCCTTTTCTCCGCTTTGAACGACAGACGGAACGCGACTTCTGCAATTACGACTCGAAGCGTCGGGATGCAGGTGACCTCCAGAGGCTGTTCTAGGACTCCTGTCCCTAAGCGCCCTATCGCTTACGGCCGCGGCTGGCTTTCCCGCTTTCCTTGCTCACCGGGTCAGGAGCTCCGTCCGCGCGCAGCTCCCGCTCCCACGCCCTCCGTGAGCAGCGCCACGCTCCCCGGCCTCGCGCCCCCTTCCGCCCAACGGCAGCGCGGCGTCACCGCGGCGCGCCGGCAGCCGCCGCGCCTGCGCCGAACGCCGGGCTCGGGGTGCGGCCCCGCCGGGCTGCCGTCGGGAGGCGGCGAGCGGGATGCCGGGCTGCTGGGGTGAGGCCGCCGTCCGCGTCCCGAGGAGGAAGGGGAGGGGGGGTGAGGGGTGCGAGCGCGGAGGCGGGACCGGGGAGCCGTCGGGGTGGGCGCCGCCGCCTTCGGAGAACTGCTGGAGAGTCCCGCCTCCAGCGCGGGGCGTCGAGGGCCTGGCGCGAGCGCGGCCGTTTCCCTGTGGCTGCGCGCACGGGGGGTGCGGTTGCGTCCCTCGGCCGTGCCTCTCCTGCGGGCTGTGCAGCGCGGCCGTCGCCGGGCTGTTCGGTTCTTAAGGTTGATGCTGTTCCGCAGGCAGTTTGCCGTTGTAGGCCTCTGTCCGTAGCGGGTCTCTGAAGACGTGAAAGTAACGGCTTGCATCGCGAGCACCAAACCGTGCGGGCAGAACGATAGTGGGTGCCTTTGCCGCTTCAGAATTAGAAGCAAGGAGAAATCGCGATGTTAGTCCCACCTAACGGTTAGCGAGAGGGAACGAGCGGCAGAGCAGGTGAAGCCTTCCAGAACCAGAAGGCAGAGGGAACCTTGTGACAAATGCTGGGGGAAAAGGCTTGAGTGTGAAGGGATGATGGTGGCATAGGTTGAAACTGGAGAAGCTTGAGCACATCTGCGCAGTAATGCATCCCAAAGCAGAGTCTTTTTACCAGCACTTCTTTTTTCAATAGTGAAAACGAAAACTGCCGCCATAATCTTGAGATGTTTGCTGGGTGTATTTATAGCTGTGTGTGCAGTCGCTGTCTGTGGAATACAAGGAAAACTTTATGAGAAGGAACACGTATTTCTTGAGTTGTAATGCCACGCTCCAGTCTCTCCTATTTGGCTCCGTTTCTGGTTTGGTTAAATTGTGTTACTGTGGAATAGTCTAGTTAGCAGGTGGCTAAAGTTTAACACAACAAAAAAGATGTGAGCAGCTAGCCATAGAAGACTCAAATGTAACCCTCTTTTCAGCAGACACTTTACAAGTGAATGAGAACTTTCCATGGAACTGAGTTGAAGAACTTCACCATGGGTCAACAGATTTCAAGCCAGACACAAACTATAATGAACAAGTTGCCAGAAAAAGTAGCAAAGCATGCTTCTTTGGTTCAAGAAAGTGGTTTCCTAACCTATGAAGAGTTTCTAGGAAGAGTAGCTGAACTTAATGATGTGTAAGTGTTCATTTGTTTCCTTTTTTCCATGTTTTACAAAGTACTTCTATGCAGTGTATTCCTCTGTGCTGGCTAAGCCAGAACTAGCCAACTGGTTTTCAGATATTTACTTTGGATCTTACAGTTTTTATAAAGATTGTAGTTGCACATAGACCAAGTCATTTCTCACCCTTAAAGTCACTTTTCTTCTAGCTGGTGTTACTTCACTCTTAGAAGATCCCAGGAGGTCAACGTTTAGTACATCTTTTAGTCCAAGTCACCTTGTGCCCCTATCCTCCATCAACTGAAGATGCTGTGCTGCTTCCTTTCTTCCTATCATTTGTAGTAGAAAGTAGAAAAAACGAGTCCTGTAAAAAGCCAATACAGCAACACTGGGAAGGTAGAACTGGAGGCAGAACTGTTTGTGACCATTTCTCCCACATCTCTGGACATGCAGTGCTGTTCCTCTTTAAAGATGAGATGCATCTTTTACTCTTTTAAACCAGCAGCCAAAAGAGTCCCCCAAAAAAGGCTGCATAAGTAACATTTGTTTTTGTAGCTTGCATTTTGTTTCACTAATATGTTGCCAGTAAAAAGAAAGGAATAGAAAAGCAGAGTTGTTGTTTTCGCTCACTCGGTATTTATGATATAAAACGAGCTGAGTTGAAGAAATATGTGCTGAAAGGGGTTTTGTTGCATGTGGGTTTTGGTAGAATTTACTGTTTAATGTAATGTGAGTTTGTATTCAGTTTAGAAATTGTCTTAGACAGCGTAATGTTTTTTCGAATGACTTTTGCACCTTCAAGAACAGACAGCTGCCTTCTGGGTAGATCAGTTTTGAAGAGTGTTTCCTTATGTTTCGTAAGAAAATCTAAGTATATTTCAGTGTAATTAACTCCGAGATACCATTCTCATTCAAGTTTTTTATTTCTTGACAGTGTTTACTTCAACCTGAAAGTACTATAATTTGTTTGATTCTTGTGAAATCAACCTCTGTGCCTGTGTTCCATGGGGGGAAAAAAAAGAAAAAAAAGCCAGGGGTCACCTGCAGCTTAGTATTTTGTTATTAGTATATATAGCAAAATTACGCCTTGTCTGCAGGTGATGGTAATTGCATACTTGTTTTGCACAAATGATAAGGAAGTAGTTGTTTTAGATTGGACGAGACTGTGTGATTGTTGTAATAAACAATTAAAGTATATATTGAATTACAAAGTCTGCCAAGGATGCTGGTGTTTTGTGAGATGTACTGTGCAATTTAAAGTGAAACAATTGACGTGCTTTATGTTGAATGACATGCTAAGATGGTTACTACTCTTAAATTTTGTGTCTCTGGGCAGTAGTGATAAAATGCCTTTCAGGATGGAAAAAGCACAGGGGTAAGCAGTAGAGAATACTATAGTAACTGAGTTTGCTGATGTTTGCAGATTGGGCACGTGATGTTAGACTGATTTTTCTTTATTTCAGTACTGCAAAATTAGCTTCTGGGCAAGAGAAACATCTGTTATTTGAAGTGCAACCTGGTTCTGATTCTTCTGCTTTCTGGAAGGTGGTCGTTCGGATAATCTGTACCAAAGTAAGATTACTGTTGATTTTAATTTGACTGTAGGTGTTTGAGGACTGGTAAAATCCAACACCTGTTAGATTTCTTTTAATGCACTTGAGACAGGCAATGTATTCAAGGATATTATTTGTGACAAATCGAGTCTAAAATCTGCATTTCTGTGAAAAGCAGGTTAACGAAAACATTTTCATGACTAAGCTTAAAGTAGCATTATCCTGTGGTGCACTTACAGCCTGTTAATTACTAATTTGTATGAGCTGTGAGATGAGTCCGGCGGTGATGGGTTAGATGATCTTTAATGATTATCTTCTAACTCAGACCAGCCTATGATACGTGAAAATCAAGTAGTACAACAGACTACAAATTTGGGTCCATAGTGGGTGAAGTTAGCCTGCAATTTCAAACAGCATTGGTTTAGCTAGCATAACTGTATGTATGTTGACTCCTTACAAAACTGATCTATAGTTTATAGTATTTATTAATGTATATGTCAATATTTAACTATTAGTTTGAGGAACCTCGACAAAACTTATTAAGGCTGTTCTTTCTAGTAAGGAGATTTTTCCCCTCTGTATCCTATCAGATAACATCCTTAAACAATCCTGAAGCCAGCAAGCACTGTTAATGTACAGTTACAGCCAAACCAACTCTCAGATTTTGTTTGAAACTAAGAACTTGCCAGTTTGTTTGCTTTTAGTTTTCATTAAGGCAGCCGCCATTGCAGGCTATTTTAAGCTGAAATGTGAAATGACTGATTATTCTATTTGTGTTCTAAGATTAACACAGTTTTTAGGCATTAGGTCACTTCTTGCTTACACCTTAATCCATTTGAGCAGTGAACATAATTGTCTTCTCCTAGAAATGTAGTCATAACTGCAATATTTTTCATAAGAAAACAGAGAAGAGCTGTGTTTGCAGATGTTAATTCTTGCCAGAGTAGGCTGCAGTTTAGGTGGCTACTGTCATGAGAACTGCAGTGCATAAAAAGAATTTTGAACAATTTCCAATAAAAATCTGATACATAACTGCAAACAATTCTTATTTCTTAAGATAAATAAAACAAGTGGCATCGTGGAAGTTTCAAGAATCTTGAACTTGTATCAGTTTGTTCAACTTTATAAAGACATCACCAGTCAAGCAGCAGGGGCTCTTGGGCAAAGTGGTACTTCTGAAGAAGCTGCTGAGAGTTTGACATCTGTGTCATCATCCCAGGCCAGCTTATGGATGGGAAGGTACGTTGATGTACTTCTGACCACAGTTACAGCATAAATATCATTAAAGTTCTGTATAAAATCTGAAGTAGAAAGCCTCCCTGATCAAAACTGAGAGAACTTGGTAGGTGCGGTCTGTCCCACCAACATTAATAGCATATCTCTTCTATCAAGAGAACTGCAGTATATATTCTGTTGAAATTCTGCTGGCACTACTATACCTTAGCTTTCAGAACAATCATTTTAGTGGTCAGCTTTAATAATAAGCATGGTATATGCTGAACCTCCTGAATAAGGAAACAAGGAAATGGAATCAGCTGCAGCTACAAATCTAAAGGTTTTGACAGTGTTTGTTTAAACAGATTCTGTTATTGTTCCACTTAAACTTTCTCTTCCTCTTCTACATTTTGGCATGTGAAAGTTCCCATCTGTTGCCACAAGAAACTCATCAATTGCAGTAATAATTTAACTCGCAAGACTGGAAAAATGTGAACTGTCTCACACATGTTGACATCCTGCTTTGTTAGCTAGAGGAAAAGTAAAAGACTGAGGTCAACACCTGCAATAATTTCAGCTCAAACTGAATTGAACAGCAAGAAGCTTCTCACCATTTCTCTATGTGGATCTGTTGCAACTGCAATGCCTTACTTTTAACTTTGAGTTAGTTCTAATTCATTCCTAAGTAAGGTGGAGTTGCTGACACTGCTCAGAGTGTTATATGCCAGCTGTTAGATTGAGAAGAGAGTCAGCGTTGTTCTTATTAAATACATAGAGCCCACTGTTGTGGGTTTTTTTCAGTCAGGGAACTGCAGAATGTGCTCTTTTTGTTTAATTTCCCCTTTCTCTTGTTTGGGAACATATAATCTTTAATTATTAGCTGTTGAGATAATGAAATGCTGGAATCAGGTAGCAAATTTTGGGCTTGTTGAGGAAAGCGTATTTTTCTGCTCTTTCTCAAATACGAATGGTCTTGGCTTAGGTGTCTGTCTAGAAATAGTCTACTTCAAACAAGCCGTAACAACAAACCAGATGGTTATGCAAAACAAATTCTGTTTTACCAAAGTCAGTAGATACAAGGTTTGCTGGGTTAGTTTCATTTTCAGACTTCAAGATGGAGATGTTTGTAATCTTCATTTTTCTAATATGATAACGATATGCTGGAATTTAGTGAGCAGGTATTTTCCAATTGTATTTTATCCAAGCTTTTTAAGTCTTCTAGAAAAATACAGGCTAAAACACCAAGTATGTTACACCTAGGATGTCTGTTTGCTTTTCTGTGATATCCTCCAGTTTGCCTAAACTCTGTTCATCCTTAGATGTTCTTCAGCTCTAGAAGAACTGGCTGTCACTGACCAAATATAGCAAATATTATCTGTTTCATTCTCCTTCTTATCTGAACTTCTTCCACTGGAATAATACCTTATTTCTGCGGAACATCTACTTCCTATTCCAAAATATCCATAACTGCTTTATGCCTTCTGATAATGAGGAGACAAGCATTTCCTTAGTTTGTCCCTCTTACACGTTGGTTGCTCAGAAACTAACGCCTCATATTTATTTCCTTGGAAACTACAAAGAGCACAATAACACTCTTTGACAGAGCAAATTCTCAGCTACAAAACAATAATTTTCTGCACAGACACCACCATTAGCTGATTTGCAACTGATAAGCTGATTGAGCTGCTCTTCATTTTGTGGTATGACACCTGTGCATGGCCATCTGGAGCTTGCCCTGTCTTTTACGTCACTGTCACCACTGCTGGAACACACAACCCACCACATCACTGTGCTCACATCCACAGTTTGGTCTCTGTGAAAGTTTAGCAAGCTTTGATGAATGTCAGTGGGTGCCATTTCTTCCATCTGGAGGAATTCAGTGACACACCTTTGCTTCATCTGCGCTTCCGTGTCAGACACCGTTTTGTTGGAGTGCCCCTCTGCTGCCATCTGTCAGACTTGATTGTAAATGCATAAACATTTACGTGTCCAGGTCAGTGGAAGCTGAGGATTTGGTGTACCTCCTCATGCTTGAGAAGTCTTGTTGATGGAAATATTCAGGATGCTAGTGTTATGAGCTTGAGATACAGGTATCCATTACTTGAAAAAGTTGCAGATGGACAAAATGTGTCTGTCCCAGTGGAGGATTTAAGTTTTGAGCTCTCCTCTGTTCCAAGAACATGTGGAATTTTAACTGAAAAACTAGCTTGGGAGAGATCTTAATTTGAAGGAACAATCACAGGGAGTGTATTGCAAGCTAAAACTGTTCTTTTCTATCCATGGAAAAGTTTTTCTCTTGGCATTTTGATGGCATGTGAAATTATCAAACATGCATTTATAGTGATGGGTCCTTTTAAGGTGCATACTTTTGTCACATTTGCCAGTCTGACAAAGTTCGTTCTGAAATACTTCAGCCTCACAGTCTGTGAGAGGAAGGCAGATTGTTGTCCTGTCCTGCCTTTAGTGTAAACAGTGTTTCTGTTCTTTGGCTCACTCCTGTGCTTTGTAATAATGTAAGTTACAGCTTACAGTTCCTTTGTTGAAATGGAAAAGAATTTGCATAACCCTTTGCAACACCAAAAGTACAAGATGGCCAAAAAAATGAATGGCAAATTATAACTTTGTCTAGTTCAGTTGCTGCTGCTTGCTGGTAGCTTGAGGCTGTGTTGGCCGACATGGGCTGGGATGACATAACTGCCCCATCCAAAAAAGTACATCGTCGTTGAGGATAAGTACAGGCATTCTGGGCTGTCCGTCGGTAATTTTGATGTGAAATGTATTTTTACCAGGGCACAAACATGAAACTTATCTGTTGTCTGATAGAAAACACTGCTTCTCTTCTGCAGGCTTAAGCAGCCAACAGATGAAGATGAATGTTGCATTTGCATGGATGGACGTGTTGATTTGATCTTGCCGTGTGCTCACAGTTTCTGCCAGAAGTGCATTGATAAATGGTAATACATATTAAAGGTTATTTATCATTTTGTAGTTTGCACTGTCTATCAGACTTGTTTCTTGGTCTGACAGATTCCTTAGTTGGCGTACAATTTAATATTTAGTTACAGATCATTGTAATTTTGCTTAGAAACTAAAGAAAACAGGGCATATGCTGATGCTGACTTGTGCTTCACAGCATCTCAAAAAGCTGCTTTTTGGAGAAAAAAATCAGTAGTTAGCATGCAAATATGAAGGCAAGCTGAACTATCTTATTACTGGGGAATACCTATCAAAAGGATTTTTTTACATATGATCTGCTTTCATTTGAAGCAAGTACCCTATTTGCTAACCTAAATATATCAGAGTTTCTCTAGGAAAATATTCTTAATAGCAGCACATTGGAATTTATGTATAACATCTCTTAAGATATGTGCTCAGCTTCATTCTTCAAGCAAACAGCTTTTCAGCTTCTGCATCCGTCTGGCACATCAGTTGGAAAACAGAAATTGCTTTCTGTAGGAGAGCAGCGCTCTCCACTGGCCACACAGAAGGCCTGCAGGGATTTGTAGTGTTCTGGCAGTCTAGCTTTAACTATGAGTTTCCTTGGTTAGACTTTTTTGATTAGTTAATACAAATGATTTTACACTTCAGTCATATAACACTCAAGAATTTTGTATTGTGGCTTTCTCAGAGGCTTACCAATAAGTTATTTTTGTAATACCATGTTTGTGTAAGAAAAAAACAGCAAAAGTGAGTGGATTTGTGAATAGTCATCTGTCTTTCTAGGAACATGCTTTAAAATCTGTCAGCATTGCAAAGCTTAGTTTAACTATCTTGATGCAGAGTAGATTATATTCCACCATGGCTGATGCATCAGCTGAACTAAGTTCCAGTTACACTGTTCCTTTCTAGTATGCAGTCTCTGAAGTTTTTCTCTTCTTAGCTTGGCGAGTAACAGTCTACCAGTTTAGAGGCATAATTTGGGCTTTGGGCACCTGAGTTAGTGGGGGAGGTGATGGGTCTCCGAGGGCCAATTCTGAACTTCAGCGGGCTGACTGACCCAGGAAAAGGGTTCTTATTTCTGCAGAGGAAGCTTATGGGGACTGGTTTCTGATGCACTTTAGCTAAATATTTAAAGATAGGAAGAGTTTGGAGTTTAGACTAGAGCACGTATGATCCTGAGTAACTAAAGAGCACGACACCACATTTATTACTGAAAAAGTAGAGCTGCATTCAGATTTGTTGGCCATCTTCCTCATAAAAAAGATTTGAAACAAAAGGATTCCGGACGTCTCATCCAATGAATGTGATGATTGAAGTTCTCACTGGGTTGGTTTGATTTGTTGGTGATTTGTTGGTGGTGTTCGTTGAAGTGGGGGCTTTTTTTTGGCCAGAAGGAGATCACCAATGAAAAATCCTCATTTCTCTGGCTTTCTGACAGGAGTGATCGTCACAGGAGCTGTCCTGTCTGCCGTCGCCAAGTAACTGGGGCAGGTGATTCTTGGGTGGTTTCAGATGCACCTACAGAGGATGATATCGCTACTTACATCCTTAACATGGTAGATGAGGTGGGCCAGCCTCTCAGGCCCTGACACTGACCAACAAGCTGCCAAGAGTAGAAGTACTTGAAGCTTTTGTTGTCACGAACGTCTGGTTTTACCTCTTGTCGTTCATCTGTAGTCTGTCTTAAGTCTTCTTGGCCACTGTGGATCTGCATTACTCTTGTAAGACATGTGGTATGTGAGCCAGTTTATGTGTTTGCAGTCCTAACGTGTAATTTCAGCGAAACCTTTAAACATTTACAGAGGTTATTTTAACAATAACTTTTGATCTTAACATTTTGACTACTAGATGAAGCTACTTGTCATAGCACAGCTGCAACTGCTAACTGCTGTTTGAACATCACAGTGCACTGCTGCAAAAGATGCACCACACCAGATGGACTGACCTCACCGGACTCATCCTTAACAGCCATCCCTTTTAGATTCATGGCAAATATGAATGAAGATGAGCTAGGACTAGTTATTACTTACTTGGAATTCTACTGCTGAAACTTGAAAGACAGCGTGCTACCTATTCTTCAGTTTGCCAATTACTACATCTTTTAGTGTTTACAGATTTAAAAAATAATAATTCTGTTTGATCTGCTACCAGTTTTAGAATTAATTATTTAAAATCTGTTTTGGAGGCTGCAGACATCTGTGTAAATGTACTCGTGCGTTTTCCTTTATTCTAACTAGGTAATCTCTTTTTCAATTTGATGTTTAGCATGGCCTCATTAGCTTGAAAATGTTAAACAGTTTCTCAGACAATCCTAAAAAAGGAAATCACTTCCTATATTTTTTGGTCAGGAACAGCCGGAATTATTTTTAAGCATTAGGCATTTCTGAAGGAGAGACTTTATTCTAATTAGCGGTGAAGTTGTAGTTTAGCCTGGTGCTGTGGTATTATTTGCTTCCTGTGAGATTTCAAAGCAGTGAAGTGAGAAATACTAAGGATTGCAAGGTGATAATCTGACGTGCTGTGCTGTATCTCTACAAGTGCAATATGCTTTTGCGTGGCAGGGAGAATCTTGTACTTGGAGAACAGTTGTGTCAGATGCCATGGCTTACATCGAGTTAAACGTGTGGAAAGGGACATCGAACTAGAGCACAGCAATGCATCTGTCTAGCAGAGTTGAACCTCAGAAGAGCTAAGAGGCTCTCAAACAAATTGTCATCACTAGTATTCAGAAGCCTTTTGGCTTCCATAACGTTGCGGAAACCAACCGCTATTGTGCAGAATGAATACATCTATTTTTGATATTAACAAAGACTACTCTTTTATCTTGAGGCTGTTGAGAGGGAAATACTCCAGTGTATCATTTTAGGGCATATCAGCATAAATGTTGTTTACTGTAAGACTGGCTCTTTGATTGCAATACTTGTTTAAATTTGATGACGCTGTAGGACTACGGCCTTTTGTCAGGGAATAACTCTCAACCAGAAGGCTTGTGCACACACAGATATGCATATTTAGGTTACTTGTTTTAATTGGCTGCTATAGAATAATTTAATCACGTCAGCCTCCAAATCTTGGGAATTTCTCTTTTATTTCTTGCTAGCAGCATATGACACCCATTGGAGTACTCTTATTGTGTCATCTAAAAGCCAAGAGAGCAGAATGTGTAAATCTCTATTTAACTGTTTAAATAATTTATGAATGTATATAGTTGAGAGTTATTATTTTCCTTTGTTAATCCTTTGATGTCAATGAGATATTCTTCAGAAAATGTATGGACTGCTTGGTTGGGCTGAAAACTAATAATGGTCAGGGATTTTCCACTAAAATATTTGCAAATGTTCTTAATCGCGCACCAGTTTGGTTCCAGTTTGCTTTCTGAGCTTGCATCAATCTGTATTCAGAACACTGGAATTTTTAAGGTGTTTTTTATATTACTGGAACAGAGAAAGCATCTAAATATGCATCCAGCTAACTTTATTTTTCAAGTCTTTTGAAAATTATACTTCTGAACTGAGCTTTTATAAGCTAACTTACTGCTGAGAACTTACATGAACTTATTACAATGTAATTTTGTAATTAATGCAAACAGATTACCTGTAGCATAATGACACTTGCCAGTACTATATAAAATGATGCAAAAATTAATCAAATAGTGAAAAGTAAACTTTGTATTCTGTACAGCTTTCTTAATTAAGTTGCTTATAAGTCACATGGCTGTGATGTAGGTAATGTGTGCCTTGTCAAATGTACTGTATGTTAGATGGGGCAGCAGATAGATACCATGACACTGAAAGCTCAGTAATGTGGTGCAGGCAGTGTTTCCTAGGCTGAAATGTTACATCTAGCAAACAGTTCTAGAAAGGAGTCCCAGCAGCAGGGCATGGCAATGGGATCCGGGAGCTAGACCTTAAAATGGGAATCGCTACAAAAACCTTCAGGTGGTGGTGGGGCATTAAAAGTGACATTTCTTCTACTAAAGTGAAGATTTCTTACAGACTTAAAGTGAAATTGTAATTTAAGCATTGTAGATTGTATTAATAGCTAAGGACATTTCAGTATATTAAAATTTGTGTATGAATTGTGCAATAAAGTTCCTTTGAATGAAATATCATAGTCTCTCAAGCTTGAGGAACCTCTCAGCCTTAATAGCACACAGGTCTGTGTAAGTACGATCTCAGTGCAGCCCCATCGTGCAGTTGGTATGGTTACATGTCTCTGTGAGTCTGAAGTTCTTGAACTTAGAGGTGTGGCATTAGGAAGGTGGCTTACATGTATCTCAGCATAGAGACACACCCTGATTTTTCTTTTTCTCAGTAGTTTTTTTCTCTAAATAAATAAATTGGAACATTCTGCAGTGATGGAGACAAGCAAACCTGCGCGTCCCAGGACAACACCGAGCTGTTTTGGGGGGGAGAGGTTTTGTTTTTTAGGATACTATCATTTACTTTTTATACAAGTTATTCCATTGTGTTTCTGATATTTTCACAGAATGGCCAGGGTTGGAAGGGACCTCAAGGATCATGAATCTCCAACCCCTCTGCCACATGCAGGGCCACCAACCTCCCCATTTCATACCAGACCAGGCTGCCCAGGGCCCCATCCAACGTGGCCTTGAACACCTCCAGGGATGGGGCATCCACAGCCTCTCTGGGCAGCTGTTCCAGCACCTCACCACTCTCCCTGTAAAGGTTTTATTTTAAAACTTAACAATGCTATTGTTGGAGAATTCTTACCGTATTTTTCCTGTTTGTTGTTTGTTTTGTTTTTCTGCAAGAATTGAAGTGTGTCATTAATGTGAACGTTTCCTCTGCCTAGTTACTAGGATTGTCATCTTTGGAAGTCAGATGAGAAATTCAGTAACAGATGAGGAAATTAAAAATGTCAGAACTTACCACGTGACAGAGGCACCAAGAGGTAGGTGCACTTGAAGAATTAACAAACAGTTCTGTTTACTGTGTTTTAAGATGAGGCACCAAATCAATTTAACACACACGTTATTTTTGTAGATGTAAGTGGCGTATTTAATTTATATATCTTCCTTTTTGAAGGTCTGTATACAATTTTATATTCATCAGTTTTGGAAACAGCAGGCAGCCTCTGGAAGGTCTGTGCTGTAGGTTTAAAACACTTTGTGTCCCACCGAATCCTGGAACAGAAACCTTTGCAGAGTGTCTTAAAAATGTTAGAGCAGCTACAGTTTTATTGAGACACATCCATACACACAGATCCTAATATATTCTTTATCATTTATTTGTGTGATGTTTTATGCTTCCACAAGAGCCAGTGATAAACATCATTTAACCTAGGCACAGGAGGAAAAAGCATTTTTTTACAGACATCCCTCCCCCCTTTTTTCAGGTTGATATGTTAACTCAGCAACAAGAATAGAAAGGTTTAGCCACAAGTGAAAAAGGATTGTATACGAGAAGGTAAGACAGGTCTGGTGTGAGGAACAATCTGTGTTACCCACTAGAAGAGTAAGAGCCTGAAGTTTGCTACAGTACTGTAAGAGAATGGAAGAGCATCGCTAAAAATGGCTCAAATTGGTAAGTTTTAAATATCAAGAAGCCATAATTAGCCATTTTAGGTGAAAGTGTAAAATGCTCTGAGCTACTAGATTTAAGGAAGTCTTGAATAGCATTTGAATATTAACACTGGTGAAATGATGAGGAAATAGGATACTCTGCCATTCTGAAGCATCCCTCCCACCCACCACCAAATCACCACCAGTGAGCAATGCTCATCTAGTCCCTTTCTTTTTTTTCTGTGTAAGCAAAACAAACTGGGGTGCAGCCCAGTCAGATCTTAACGTGGTCTGGGAAATACAAGAACAGCAGTTTGCCCAATCTTGCACTTGAGTAAAAGTGTACAGCAGTTAATTCAGATGACATTAACACTTCAACAGTGGATCTGTTCTTACGTGCAAGGTTGTTTGAAACAGTCATTAGAACAAAACTGCAACTTAAAACAGCTCAAGTTCCAGAACTGACCCTGAGAATCAGTAACATCTGTGTAACTAAAAGATAATCAAAAAAGGGATGTAGCAATGGAAGCTTGGAAGGATATGGCTCTGTTTCCCTAAATGTAACACTTAGCTCAATGTGTTGTTAAAAGCAGCAAACAGGGATGCACCAAAAGGAGAATTTGTGCTAACGGCCACTTGTTTGGTAGTTTGTTATTGTTAAAAAGCCAGATTACTCTAACAACAAAGATTTAAATTGTTCTGTTTTGTTAACTTTGGTTTTGCTTTATTGTTTGTTTTTGGGTTTTTTTGGTTGTTGTTTTTCTTTTTTTGAGAGAGCTACCAACACATTAGGACTTGATGTTCTTGAGGTAAGGGAAGTTGGAAAGGTATTAAACATACAGGAGTTTGGTATAGTGTCAAATAAAGCTAGGAAATATAAATGACAAACAAGAGACACACTAAAGGCTGTCCACAGGTGAAACAGCCCAAAAAAAGCAATGGTTGTGAGATCAAAAATACTTAAAAGTAGAATTCTCAAAAGCATGTTACTTACTCAGACTGGATAAAGGTACTGAGGTAAATAACACTTTGTACTAAGGAAGAGAACTCTTCTAACTCTTCTCCATTTTATGTAGTCAAAAGGTTGGAACCACTCTTCAGGCCATTGGAAGAAAATTCTCAGATCCTGATAATGCATTATGTGAGCTGCTAAAATCTCTAACAGTGAGGCCAATAGGTGTAGCTGACTATAACCTTAGAACAACTTAATGTTACACAGTTGAGCCAGTATAGCACTGGTTCACAGGATTTCTAGCTGCACTAGGAGTGTCAAAAATGGCACTAGTTGAACACTGCAGACATCTAGCTTAAGCTAGATGGCTGAAGAGCTGACAGCGAGTTGCCCACCATCTGTCTGCAACCTTGTTTTGGATCAGAATTCCTCGTCTAGCCTTGTGAGCGCTGCAGCTCCCTGGATGGCCAGAAGTCTGTTCCTGTGCTCCAGGGCTCCCTGTAGAAGCCCTACTTCGGGCTATTTCCTAAGGTCTTTTTTCAGGTTAGTTTCTTATGGGGCTCTTCCGTGGCTGCACAGCTGTAGGTGATAACAGGGAATTCTTCCTTCATGCAACCACCATTCAGGACAGCAGGGGCATTAGAAATTGTCCTTGAAGGTACTGCTTTCCACTCCTGCAGCCTGAGGAGAGTGCTTGTTTCAATAAATACCTACGTTTGTGCCATCACTGAGGTGTCTGGTACTGGTGATGTCACCAGCGCTCCTTCCTTCTGCGTTTACAAGGGGAAGTGAGACCTGGTCAACTTTGGAAAGGATGGGTGTAGGTATCCAGGACAAGAGCCTGGCCTAAGAAACCTAAGTGGCACGAAACTTAATTGGCTAGCATTTGTTAAAATGTTGTTTACACTTTAATTCTGCATTTATTCTGTTCTAAGACTCGTAACCTCTCTGCAGGTCTCTCTGTAGGCTCACCATCCTGTCTTAGGGACTATAGGCCTTCAGATTAATTACTTCTGTTTTGGACTTACAGGCATTGGCACTCTCTCTCTGCTTATCCATAAGCCTTCAAGTCTTTCTTTTTCTGCACGAAGCTACCTACAGTTCCTACAAAATGAAGATACTACTATGTGATATTTATTACCTTTGTTCCTTTCTGAGTGAAGTAATACTTTGTCTTAAGAAGGGTATTCGAATTGGGGGGGGGGGGGAAAGACGTACAATAGTTATATTTTACTATCTGCTCCATCATAAATAAAAAGTTTTAACATAAAATGACTAAAAATTACCTAGCTAGCTTCTGTATAAATAGACAGTTTGTGACTTCTCGTTCATCTCTGTAATTGACTAAAATACAAACTAACACAAATTGGTAAAAAGACATCAGAAGTAGGACCAGAACCCAGGTCTGGAGTTTCTACTGCTGATTCATAAGAACACTTCCTTTGTTCAAGTAAAAAAAACTCTCTTTACATGCAACCAGCATTATCTCATAAGTTTCCAAATAATTTGAATTGGCAAACCAACATACTCTGATTAAAAAGCAATAAAAACATGTTCTTAACCTACAATGCAGAGCTTTCATAATGTAATTACACTTGTTATTACAGTGTCCAATAGTGATAATTTTGACACTGTGTTTTGTACATATTAAGATTAAAAACATTTAGTCTGCTGTTATTTGCAGCCATCCCACATGACAACAGGAAGTAATTAAATGGTCATTAAATGTGACCACTATATTTTGAGCTTTCTTGTTTTCCAGTTTAACTGCTGAAATGTTAAGGTAAGAATCATGAATGAGGGGGCAGCCTCAAAATTACACACCCTATACAATCTGCTGTCAAATAAAGGGTTAAACTTCCCAGTGGTAAATGCCATGATTGCTATGAGACTAGCAGGACAAAAACGGGTGCGTGTGTTCTTTCAGCATCTGCAGTATCCTAAAATGCATCTCAGGGATGCATTATGGATACTTTGTATAGTTTTGCAAGCTACAATATAGTGCACATTTAAGACACTATGAAACAAATAATACATGATTCTTAGTTTGCATATAATATTTACAGCAGTCTTACAAAGCCTACTGTTTGTAGAAACTGACATTTTTGCAATGAGAATAACAGTAAAAGATAACAGCAAATGCTGTTTAGCTCCCATACTCTATTTTTGTCCGTGTTGTTCAGGTATTTCTCAGTAGCATCAACAGCAGATGATTCGATACTATTTAGCGTCCCATTCTGCTTGGGAGTGAAATGCTGTGGTTTATTTCAGCTTGTAACTACTATGACAGTGTCGAAATCTCATCTGTTCTCATAGCATCAGACAGGAAACTAAGTTCATTGCACAGCGTCTCGTACCTGAAGGCCATCCGGATCTGTGCAACATTTGTCTTTCGAATGTCATTTCCCTCCGGCCCTTCTTTACAGTAGTTAACCCCTAAGAATTTCTGTTTTTCCTGTGAACAGGATTAAAGGAGGAAGTCAGTTCAAATGCTCTGGTTTATTACATAACTGAATATCTAGTTGAAGCAAGTGAACAGAGCAACTTTAACCAGCTGGCCATTGACCTTTACATCAGGGTCTTAATCACCTCTGGAGATTTTAAGGTCTATATAAATTCTTGTGCTAGCA